AACACAACAGAAACGGCACCACCGGCCCGAATTTTTGAGCCACCGCAGGGAATGAAGCCCAAGAAAGCAGGCTGCGGGGAGGAGCCAGGCGCTATGGCCTGGCATGGGTCCCCAGCCGCGGGAGAAGCCCTGACACCAACCATCTCCCAGCCACGGGAGAAGCCCTGACACCAGCCATCTCCCATCCACGGGAGAAGCCCTGACACCAGCCATCTCCCATCCACGGGAGAAGCCCTGACACCAACCATCTCCCATCCACGGGAGAAGCCCTGACACCAACCATCTCCCATCCACGGGAGAAGCCCTGACACCAACCATCTCCCAGCCACGGGAGAAGCCCTGAGATGAACCATCTCCCAGCCATGGGAGAAGCCCTGACACCAACCATCTCCCAGCCACGGGAGAAGCCCTGACACCAACCATCTCCCAGCCACGGGAGAAGCCCTGACACCAACCATCTCCCAGCCACGGGAGAAGCCCTGAGATGAACCATCTCCCAGCCATGGGAGAAGCCCTGACACCAGCCATCTCCCAGCCACGGGAGAAGCCCTGACACCAACCATCTCCCAGCCACGGGAGATGCTCTAACCCAAACCATCGCGGCTTGAACCATCTCCCAGCCACGGGAGAAGCTCTGACCCGAACCATCGCGGCTTGAACCATCTCCCAGCCACGGGAGCCCACGCAGCTGCACAAAGGGCAGCGCTTCGGGATGCTTGCTGAGGACACGCACACAGCGCTGAGCTTTGCACCCTGCGCCACAGCCGGGTGGCACTTGCAATCCGCAGGACATCTCTAATTAGTTTGGTAAACGCTGCATAAGTTTGGGAATGCCAAAATGCTCACTTGCCAGAAGTTCTTTGTATGAGTACAGCTTAAGGGTTTGAGCTTATTTTCACTAAGGAATGTGTGAGTTGCTTAAAACCAGAAACAAGACAGAGCAGCTGAAATATTCTTGTGAACACAGTATTTTAGCCGCTAGAAATTGCCTGCTTTTGTCTTCTGCCTCCATCCCCATCAGCCGTAGCTATTTTGAAGAAGTGATCTTACCTCTATTCTTCTCCTTTCTTCATCTTACACAACAGTAGTTACCTGGTAGAGATAGGAGGCAAAATCTCAACAGGCACCAGTTTTTATTCCTATTATGCACTGTAGGTCAAGAACTGAAAGCCATCTGGCTGTACAAGCAGAGCACATTAAAAACACAGTATTTTGAATTATAATTGGTACTGATTTTTTTTACCCTCTCAATATACAAAGTCTATCAGTTCCATAGCAGTCTCATTTCTCTTCAGTCTTCCTTCATGAGCATCAAATTCCCCTACAAATTCTGCAGCTCAAAGTGCAACCTAATGCAAAACTCACGTGCCAAATGCCAAGCATCATCCCATCTCTTAATACATCTGGAGTGATGTTGGGGTGAAGGTACAGAAGGTGACAACAGTGAGAAAACCTGCTACTTCTAAAGGAATAGGTACTGCTATGCTACCTTCTGCCACATTTTACATTTCACCTCCCCTCAGAGATGGGAAGTGATCCCCACACTACTTCTCTCCATAAATTCTTCAGTTATCATTATACTTAGTCTTGATGAAGGCCTAATGATGAATCAAATATGCCTTTCTAATCTCTAACATGGTAAGCCCTTTTGCGGAGAGGCCAGAAACCAATTTCTCTGTGTTTGCCCCCATGCTCTACAGAAAGCCCCATGTAAAAGGGTGTTTGGGTTATTTGAGAGTCAATGGCATTAGTGAGGTCTGTTCCACCTCATCACCATGCAACATCTAAATGCCATTAGTGCCAAAAGAAGTACAGCTGTAGCAGCTGCTGCTCACTTTACATCCCTCCTTGTTTATCACACCAGAATCACTTGCCAGTTATTCTGAGTACAGAAAGCTGGATAATGAAAAATAATCAGTCTTTCCTTATTTTTTTCCAGAATTATATGCAGTAAGATGAAGTTATGCTGGGCACTTGGCTCCATTGCCCTCCTCTCTTTTACCTACAAAAACAAAAACAAAAAAATCAATAAAACACAGTATTTTTGATAATATATATGGGACTACTGAACCCATTATTTATTATAAGCAAGTGTTGAGGAATATTTTGGTTTGCTCCCTGAGACAAACTAAAACATGCTTTCGTGCTGAAGTATGGTGAGATTTAACAAACAATGCATTGGACAGCCTGCAAAGAGCACAATTCACACTGCTTCCTTTCTATAGACAGCTTTGATCTGTCTCTTTTTGCTACATTACCCTTGTATCACTTCTCCAATCTTTTTTCCCTTCTACAATCATCCAGGTCTTGTTCTTCTGCAGTCGTTAGAACAGTGAGCTTCACTCTCATCTTGCACACAAGTTCAGCATGGCCCCCGATTTCAGGCACAGCAACAATAAGGTCTATTTAACTGTTGGAAAAACTCTTGCTGACCTGGTGCCATCCAAATGGTTTTCACATCCTCTAATGCTTTAAAGGGATAATGCTTTTGCTAGAAGAATTTTCTTGCAGTTTCCTCAAGTCCTTTTCCAAAAGGTTAAGAGGAAGATTTCCTATAGGCACCATCAGCCTTTCCATGAACCTGCATTCCCACTCCAGGGCAGACAGGAAGGAACAGATTTCCATTTCTTTCAGATAACTCTGCTCACCTTTGGGACTAAGAGAAACTCTTCTTGGTCTTCCTTTCTATTTCTCCACCAGACAATGGACATGGCCACAGCCTGTCCAGAATAGATCCTGCCCGTTTAACACTGACACTGCTACACCAAAGGAAGGAAAGCATCAGGCAGCTAGGAATGTGAGAAAGCAGGTGAGATAAAGGTAGCTTATCTGTCCTAGTAGTAAAATAATACCTAGTTCATGTGCTTAAAAATTTCAGTATCAGAATCAGAGACCAATAGGAAAGCCAATCTGCTGTAAAGCTACTGAGCTTGGGAGTTAGCAAGCTGCAGTGATGACAAGTGCATCTCTGTCCTGGAGAGCTCACCAGTACAAGACAGCTGGAGGGCCAGTCTTGAAAACATGGGCTCCAACACCACATGCATTTGCCCAAGACTTCAGGTTGAAGGGGCTGTAGGAACTACTGATGGAAAGAAGAAAAGTAAATCCTGGTTGTAGAGTTTCTGTTGTAGAGTCCTGTCTCTCCCCACGTCCTACAGACTAAGGCATAAGCAGCAGTAAACTGCTCAGCACATCTTCCATGCACTTCCCACACCAGAAAACATCCTGCTAAAACTCAAGGGACTGGATAACTTCAGCTGGGTTAACACTGGATAGGAAGAGATTTCCCAAAGGCTGCTGCTTGAATGCAGTTTAGCACAATGCTAAGCAAACTTCCCTGCCTGCTAGACTGCTGCCCCTTGCAGCAGTACATTGTCTGAGAATTGTTTAGGCTTTTCTAAGGGTTTATGGCTTTCAGTCCAACACATGAACACTTCAAACACAATGTGTCAGATTTTACATTTTCCAGAGCATCCTTTATGATCATGGGCTTCTTAATTTTCACAAATTAAAGCATCTTAGAAGTCAGACGCAACTCATTTTATTTGGGCATCCTAAGCACAATTTTCTGATATTCCTTCCCTTGGTGAATATCATCTTGCACATGCTAGAAAGAGCAGCTATACTGGTTTTGGATGGGAGACAGGCAATTTTCTTCACAGTGGCTATGGTAGGTCTGTGTTTGATTTGTGCTGCAAACAGCACTGATAACATAGGGCTGTTTTAGCTACTGCTGAGCAAGGCTCAGAGCCAAGAGCTTTCCTGCTTCTCACACCACCCCACAAACAAAATAAATCCTAGCATAAGTAAGGATTTCAGCCCATAAAATTAGAAGTAACTACTTCAATTTGAACAAAATGGGCCCATCCTAGCCATACCTTCATTTTCCAAATCTAGCTAGAGATTTTAAGATTTGATCTTATTACAAATATGAATAAAAAACAGGGACAACAGTGAACTTCAACCTGAGTCCCTGAAATACTATGGTTACTATCCCTACAACACAGAGCATTTAAACTTACTAGACCAGCTTTAAGGCTTTTAAAATAAAAGGGCACTACTCTTCTCTTTTCAGACCTGGAGTTACTTTAGCTGTGCCTATTCTTGACTTTTAAATAGAGTCCTAGAATGAGGTGGAAGGGACCTTAAAGATCACCTAGTTCCAACTCCAGACCAGACTGCTCAGTGCCCCATCCAGCCTGGCCTTGAACACTTCCAGGGGTGGTATCCATTCCTCTTGGCAACCTGTTCCAGTGCCTCACCAGCCTAAGAGCAAACACCTTCACAGAAGTGCAAGAAGAGTCCCACTTGAAATAAACATCTTTTCTCTGGTGTAATGAAGTAGAAACACATAGTAAAGAATTTAAAATGTCCACTGACCTCCATGAGTTACAAATGGAGTGAAAACAAAGTTAGCTTTGTTGTTTCAGTTTTGTTATTGTTGTATTCTTTTTACCTTTCAGAGAACTGTGTTGCAGTAAAACATGACTTCCATGTATGTCAGAACTGAACTGTTTCTTTTTGTTAAAGCCTAAAAAGATGTTTAATTAACCTTCGTTTATTTAAGAAGAGAGCAGGTATCTGACCAAACCAAGACAGGCAACACCACACATTGCAATTGTGTTTCTCTTGATAAGCCCTTAAAGCTTAATTTTCTTTCTAGAAAACTCTGTACAAAATACAGCCACATCTTTTAATTTAAACACAGCAGGCAATTAAGAACACAAAAGAGGGCCAAGGAATAGAAACAAAGGGCTGCAAATCACAAAGACCAATTTCAGAGCTGTTGGTGAACTCATTTCATGTACCCTACTACACTCTTACTGTCCTAGGCACTGGAACAGTGGCCACCAGCTGTGCCAAGTAAAGAAATGTCAACTCTTATCTTGTCATCACTTGCTTTCTATTCCTGAGCTTCCCATGTCCAGAAGAGTTCTCCAATTTTAAGATTATGACTATAGCCATAAGAGTCAATATAAGATACACCATAACATTTTCAATAAATGTACAAATCATTTATTTAAAATTCCAAACTCAGCAATACAAACCAAATACTTAAACCATAAATCCAAAATGTAAACACTTATAGAAAATATATGAACTGTACCAGTTTAACCACCCACCATTGTTCACAGAAGACAGCAAGAAATAGAAAGACAAACCAATACCAAATTCTTTTCTTCTCAAATTCTAGTCTAGAGGTAGAAAACCACTGTGAAAGTCTCAAAAAAACCCAAATTAATTCAGTAGAATTATGCTACAAATAAATTTGGCCCAGATACTTATAAACGTAATGAAGCCAGAAAAAAAAAGATTCTTACTGAGAGCTCTTGCACAATGAAATTTGGCATGGCACTTTCCAAGAGATAAAGCACCTTTCCTGGTAAATACTGGTTTATGTTCTTGCAAGAAAAGGATCCTATGCTTTTTCCATTGCTGACAAAGAAAACATTTAAAAATACACAAACTTTTTGGTAGGCATATAGAAAGCAAGTGTTTCTCAGTAACTTGTCCTAGAAAGCCAATCTGGGAAAAAAAAAAGAAGTGTAACTATTAAAAGAAGACATTTTGAAAGACTTTATGAATATTTGATGCATACTTACTTGGGTGGCACAGTCCTCAAGGGGGAAGGGGGGAATTAATATCACAGGAGAGGAAAAATAAAGTGTCTTTTCCACTAGCAGGGGAACTGACTGGTTTTTACATTTTATTGTCACTTAGTCAGTCTCCCCGAACTGCTACAATTTTATCCTCTAAGGAAAAGATGTATCTGTGAGAGACACACTAGAACATCAAGTGCAGTAAAAATTACCCAGGTAATCTCAAAGGAACATATATTCCATATTTGTTCATCAGATAACCTGCAACAAGTAGAAACAAAAATTGCAATTCCTCAGACAATATATATATAAATTCATAAAAAATCAGGAATAATTTGCAAGCTCAAATACAAACATTATTCAGAAAAAACCCCAACATTTTAGTATAAAGACTGGCTGCTAAGTGCATCATTTAAACTGCTGCATGCAAATAGTGGAACCTATGGTTGTCTAAGAAACTTAACTATCAACAGCTGTTAGGCATCTGCAATTTAGTTCAGCAAGGATTTTCTCAAGTATTTGCTGAAGGACATTTGTGGTTTAGAAGCAGCAAAATGAAATTTCAGTCCTAATGCCTTCTTGCTCTATTGTATATAGAGCCACTTGTCCCAGCCTTCAGAAAAAGAGGCAAGAGTAATTTCTGCCACAGACTAGCAGAAAATAGCTTTCATGTGCCTGCTACCTCATCTGGGGCAAAACTACTTGTGTGGTGCAGTTTAAATAGTCTGAGCTATATTTATATGATTTTTCTGAAGCAAATTAAAGAAGCATTTGGACTGTACTCACGGCAGAACTGGCAACATTACCTGTCAAATAACCAAGTGATCTCTCCCACTAACACTAGAAGATCAGCCCAGGACAAAACACAAGAGATAAGCATTTCTTCTACAAAGTACATTCTTCTGCTGAACATGAAGCCTTTCAGAAGGAAAGAAGATAATATTAACACAGTAACGTTTCAGATGTATTTTAGGTCTTCCAATTTATTTATGAAATTTCCATCACCTCTAAAGGAAAACTGTGCATCCCTACCCAACTAAAAGACTATTACATACCTAGATTAAGGAAACTTACTAAAAGATGAGTAAGTGCTAAGCCATATATTAAACTAAGACACTTCCACATCATAATTCTTTGAGAGATCAAAAATAGGGCTGAAAGAAGACAATTTTAAGTATACATCCAGTTTTATTCCTTATTTTTCCACTGTATCCCTCATTATGCCTTTCCCTGTATGTATTTCAATGATCAGGATGAAAATATTAGTTTATACAAACTAATTATATTTAGCCCTGTAAAAACTAATCCCAAACTTCACCATTCTTTGATTTCTCTATATTTAGGCAACTCATCTGCTACACATGCAAGCTACTTCTCAGAATATTAGAAAAAAAATTTCTAGTATTTCACTGTTTCCCCAAAAAAGTAAGATAAAGCTGAATATTTGTTGGTACACGCTTCGCTGTACCCTGCATAAAACCATTTTTGTATATCTAGGTTACACATTAATAAGGACAACAGCTGACCTTGAGATTAGTTAAAGTAAGTTGCCTTGTCTTTGTGCTTGCAAGTTCTAATAACAAAAGGAAATATCAAGAAACATCTAGGGCTTCCATTAAAAATTTACTTGAACCAAGGTTCCCCCCTCTGACAACTCCAAAATTAACCCTAATTCTGCAGCAAAAGTGAGAATCCAAACCAGCAAAATACATATGCTTCCCTCAGTTATCGAGGCAGGGTCTAGTTTCTTCCAGCTCTTGCAACATAGCACTCTGTCAAGAGAACCTACACTGACCACTGCCTCCAGAGTGCAAGATCCAGAACTGCTTCAAACACTGAAATAATTTCTCTCTCAATATACAAAGAGGGCTCTTTGAAGTTTGGGGGTTTTATATAACATCTTGACATTCAAAGAGCTAAGTCCTATGAACTGCAGATCCTCAAGCATGGCAGACTTAAAGCCAAATTCAGCACCTTCAGAGGACAAGGGTATGATCCTGTGGACTACACACTGCTTTGCCCAGGTAATCAGACATTGTGATGCATTAATGCACCTGTACCATTTTCAACACCCAAGCACAACTGTGCTCTAAGATCTAATTATGAAGATGGTCATGTTACAAATGTGTTGTGACTACATTCAGTTACAAAGAGCAACGTGAAGAACCTACCACCTCTGCTGAGATGGGTTTTCTTTAATGCTCCCATATATGCACAGCACAAAGGTCAGCCTGACTGCACAGACAGCTCTTTGGAGAAGTTGGTGCCCTAGAACTTTTTTGAGGTGGGAGAAAAAAAGATGACGGATACTCTATACACAGAGGCAAGCTTTATTCTTCCAAGGTGAACTTCACCACTGGCAACATGGCTAGTACAAGATCAATCCAATTTATGTTCTAAATAAAGGATATTTTGAGGCCTCAAGCAGATAGATACTGGCTTCATCCCAAACTCCTGAGTAGTGGTAAATTTCAGCTTGGAACCTAAAGCAGACATGCAACCAAAGCTTTCACAAAAATGAAATTATTTCACATGGTAAAACATTTTACATGGTATGGTGGCCTCAAGTGTCCTTTTAAGAGTGCTAGTTGGTTTTCATGACATCATAGCACCAGAAGTTAACCTGTGGATCCAGAGAATTACAATAAGCAAGTGTCTTTGTAACTGAGAAGACATTAGCAAACTACTGCAACACTGGGCTTCCAGTACACGTTGCAAAATGCAGCATCAGCAAATGCCACTGATGCCTGTGAATCACAACACCAACTTTATTTCACTGGTGGCCATCCCAAATCACATGGCAAAACAGACTTCTCTTGTCACTGCTGAAGTATGACAAGATACCCAATCAATTTCCATTAAAAATCCCAACATAGCCATGGCCAGGTAACATACAAACCCTGCTGCTTTCTCAGTGTTTAAGTGGAAAGCATAGCCTAGGTATCTCAGCATATTTGCTAACTGGGAAGAAAGACAACTTTTTATCCAGATCTAATTAAAATGTCAACTACTGGACATAAAGAGAAAAGAAAAAAAAAACAAACAAAAATCACAACAGAGATATCAGGAATGAGTTAAATCATAGGATTTGCTTTTAGTATTTATACCTGTAGATAGAAATAGCTGTGATCCATCAAACTCACTAATGTCTTGAAAGCCATGCAAGTCCAAATCCCACATGGACATTAGCATCCTAGTGCAGCAAAACATACTCCTCCAAGTCTGCTGCTGTAACCCAGGCGGTTACAGGGCAGTCCTGGAAATGATGTTCCCAAATCACACACCCTTTTGAAATTCTTACTTAGTCCTGGCTGCTGCTGGCTCCATTTTGAGTCTTACCTGAGAAGGCAGGGAAATTCAACCCCAGGGCAAACAAACGTCAAGGCTTGTTTGAAGCTCCCTGAGGTTTCTCTCCTGTGAGTCCTTGTTTCAGTGTGTGTATGTAAATGATCTAATTCCTCGCCAGCAACTTCAACTTATTTACAAAATAGTCACTGACTTGGACACTGGTTTTCTGGAATGCATCTTTGATACACTGACCAAGTTACTTTAAGTCAAAAGAAGCTTGAAAAGCAACTTTTCATCTTTCTCAGGAGGCTGCATCCTGCCTATGACAGGATATTGCCTGTCTTGAATCCATTTCTTCCAGCATTGTCTGCTTCTCTTTACAAAATAAGAACTTAATATTTCTTTGCAGAAAAAACAAACAAACAAACAAAAACCAACCAAAACCCCAAATACTTACTAACACATTCACCAAAGTGAATTTACAGGAAACATTACCACCACCACCACCCAATCTTCAGAACTAATTTAATGGAGGCCAATTATTAGGATACCAGTTTTATGTTTGAAAATAAAGTGCATAATGATTGTCACTGAGAACTTTGCTTATTTCAGGTTAGCATAGTTAGTGTCAATCCTCAGCAACATCAATAAAATAGTAATTACAACAAATTCTTAACATGAGTCAAAATCTGAAACAACACACATGAAAAATAACTTTTGTATAAACAGGAAAAAGAAAGAGAAAGTGAAATGGAATCCCTAGTCCTTTGTGGAAGTGATCCTATTATACAGCTATCCCAACATGTAGCACCTGAAACGAGGAATCACAGTCTGTTTGCTTCCCTTCTACCATTTCTGAATTCAGTTTGAAGCTTTCTGGTGGTGTCTGACAGATTTCACCTCGGACAGGGGAAGATGTGTCTTGAGGGAGCTCCATAGAGACAGTGTCAGAGGAAGAATCTTGGCTTTCTGCTGACACAGAGATCTGTATACAGCTGCCCTCCATTTCCTCATTGCAAACTGTGTCTTCATCAGCCTCTTCCAGCTGCTGAACAGATTTTAAATACTGTTCTATCAGTCCGTTGTCCTGCTCATTACTAGAGCTCTCTTTACTTTGCCCACACGCCCCAGGGCCATCCTCTTCTGAACATGCTAAAACAGAATTGCCACATTGTTTGATGGTTTCCATTGAAAGGGAGCTCTCAGTTCCTTCAGCTGAGCTCTTTTCAGAGCCACACAGGTCACTGGCACGAGTCTGATCAGCCGCAGAAGTATGAAAGCCAGAATCTGGAAACTGCAGCAAGGACCTTTCCTGAGGCTCATCCTCACTGGCTGGAACTGACAAAGCAGAACTAACAGCTGCTGGGACTTCGTGCTCCACTGCAGATGACTGAAGAGGTGGTTTGGATGTACATAAAATATTGGCTGAAGGGACCCCAGCACCACCTAAATTCTGCATCACTGAAAGCTGCCATTGTTGAAGGGATTTAACCTGTATAGAGAAAAATTCATTATGAAATGCAGCTAAATGTGTCTTGATTTCTAGTGGATTTCTTGCATTCAGCAACCAAGCTCTAGTATAAAATCCAAGACCAAGTGACAAACAAAAGGTTTCCTATATCATTAGGGAAATTTTGTTCTTCTCACTGTGAAATCATGGCTTTTAAACCCACATGCCAAACACTGACAGAGCACACAAGCTCCTGCTCTTAAAACCAGAAAGGATTTATCTGCTTTTAAGAAAACAGCCTTATTTTTGGAAGCAAAGATTATTAAAAGGTGTATTAACAACTTTCCTGCCTCAAAAATGAGCTGCTCACAACCAACACTGCTTGATATCATCTCATCTGTCATGAGCATTTACCCATAACATCATTCTCCCCAGTCCTACTTATGTTTATTCAGCTTTTCTTGCATTTTGTCTTCCTTCTTACACCAGGCCACAATTCAGCCTTTAGTAATAAAACCAGTGTTCTTGCACTGATGTTCTGAGGGTTATTTTCCCCAACAGCATCAGTATAGCAGACAACACAGCAATAAGATTCTATTAAACCACTCAAATCATCAGAAAAACTGAACCATATTGACTGTCTCTTCAGGATCTACAGTAAGAAATAATGCAAATTCACATATAGGCAGATTCAAATTCGAATTCCAAATTCACATTTAAGCACAAAAACAAGAGGGCTAAAATTACTTACCTGGTTCCAAAGAAATTTGATAGCTTCCTCCTGTACAAGCCTCTGCACTTTATCTTCCTCTCTTTCTTTTCTCAGTCTGCAAGAGCACACATCCAAAATTTATGCAGCTTAAATAAGCAACATTTTGGTAACAAGAGCAAAAAGAACACATAAATATGCCTACTTACATAACAGCACTTTTGAAAGATATAACAGAGCCTAACATTAAGAAATTACTGCAGTCTGGCTTGCCATAAATACCCAGCTGCTGACTTCAAGTTTCTTTTTCAGTTACATTTAAATTCTGCTTCCTTTTACCGCAGCACTTTTGTTGACTTGGCAATAATGTGTCTTTTTCTAAACTGAATCTGAGCTCTTATTTTTTCCTACACAATTATCACTCCCTCCACACCAAATAGTACTTCTTCATTTCAAATTATGCTGTCCCATTGATGTATGGATGGAGTATGGTGTGTAAGCATTGGGAGTTTCTGGAGGTTCACTGAGCACTCAACTTGATTTACAGAACTTTTGTTACTTGTGATAGTGAAGAAAAAGAGACCGTCAGACTAGCTGATCCAGGATGATCTAGAAAGATATCAAGTAAATACTGAATTTTTGGCTTACAAATTGAGGAACTTTGACCATGATCTTCTCCAAACATGGATTCACAGGATCAAAAATTAAAACAGAATCAAACACAGAATCACATTTTTAAATTGTATCATACAAGGTAGAGGAAATTCTTTTCACAGCAACAGAAGAATGGCTCTCAAGATGGACACTATTTATAGACTCTAATTGTGAGGAGACAAATTTAAAAAAATCCCATTCAGCAATTTCTATTTTGAAATATGCAAGTCTACTAAAAGAGGAATAGAAAAATGTGTTCTAACCCAATCCACTTATAGAAGGCACTTTGAGAGTATGAATAGCTATGTGCAAAACTGTGCTTACCTTACAGGAAGTGATCCTGTAATGTGATCAGTTTTATGTTTCTGATGCTAGGTTCTACTGTGAGTAGTTGTATCGTATATATCTGTTCTGAAATAATCTGGAATGATGGTTATATCAGACAGACTTGCAAATACACAGCAGATCTCAACTTACTTTTTTATTTCAGCTGTTAAGCAAATGATGTGCTCCTGCATTCTGTGCAGTCGAATTTCATTGCGCACTTCCTTGGCTCGAGGATGGTGGTTCCTCGTGTAAAAGCCTCTCCAGGAAGCTTGAAGCTTGGTAGCTGCTTCAGTCATCCTTTGCAGCTCAGCTGCACCTTGATCAGCTGGTGCTGCACCTTGCACAGACAGTGAACCAGACCTTTCTTCTGTCATTTGGTCAGGACTAAGAGTTTTTACTCCTGATTCACCACCTAACGAGGTGCTGGGGCGACTGTGCAGAGCTTGGCCTGCAGAGGCTCCTGAAGAGTTGCCAGTCTTTGCAGCCAGGCCAGCTGCTACTGGATCAGGAGCAGGCACCTGCAGGATCTCTCTGACACTCTCTTGCCTTTCCACACTTCCTGCTGCTCTATTAGGGTGCTCTCCTGTAACAGACAAAGCTTTTTGCTTGTTAGTTGTTTCCCTACTATTATTATCTCTCACACCTTCAATCACTGTATCATCATCATCTTCTAGGCCCAGATTGATTCCATGTAGCTTCAGGCCTGAAGCAGGAGACACTGGAGACAATCCTGAAGCAACTGGCATGAAAGTTGACTCTGAGGATAAAAGGCTGCTGTTTAGTTTGTCTTCATCTGTCTGTAAATCTTCGAGGTGTAGCTCCTTGGAAAAGCTTCTTTCATGAAGAAAAGTGTTCTTTACTGCATAGGAATGATCACCGCTTGCACTTGGTCCAACCCAAGAATTCCTCTGGATGACGGGCTCTAGATAGGCAGAAAGCCACATTATAGTGTTAAGAGTATTTCAAAAATAGTAACAGTTTGTTTAATTCATAGGGATTCCCAGTTTGGTTTTGACAGTTAGCACCTGGGTGGGCAAGATGATCTAACATGTTAGTAATGATGAGCATCATTTCTGTATCAGGACAATATGTACCACAGTAATATCCAAACTTGGCAAATACTGGGTACAGGAAATTACACAAACTGCACTTCCTTGGAGAATAAACTTGTATGAAATGCAAAAGTCAAAGTAGTTACTCTTTAGTTTCTTGGATTGGGTTTTTCACCTAACCAGTCTACTAGCATTTCAAAACACAAATAAGCATGGACTGGATATTTTTTTTAGGAACAAATTATAACTTAATTTGAGAAAATCAAAGATCAATAAAATAAAATAATAACAGGGTCTTGCTCTGAAATTCCTTCCACAAAGTAACCCATGTTCAAAAGAAAAATATTTATTTCTAGAGGTGTAGATAAGCTACTTACCCTTTTCAAGAACCACCTGCGATGGCTGGGCCAGACCACTGTGTTCATGAGCAACTGGCACTGTTTTGCTGGGAGCAGAAGATGTAGGTGGCTCCTCATTTTGGTTTTCATGCATCAGCTGCCTCTGGTGGAGTCTAAGCACAGAGTGCCAACAACAGATTTTATGTTCCTTTTAAACTTTCTTTAGTACAGAAAACATCTAAAAGAAACTATGAACTATTTCAAAAGAAAAGTGATCAAAACATTCTAAAGGAGAGGCCAGTTATGCAGACTCCTACACACATAAGGCACTAACAGGACTATTCACAAAGCAGGAAATTGCAGTCTTTTCCTGCTCCCCTTCCTCTATCCCCTCTTTCTTCATTACATGTACCAAAAACAAAACAAAAAAAAAGCCCACCAAAAAAACCCAAACCGAAACAAAAACGAGAAAAAACCCAACATGCAATTCTGACTATAAACTGAAAAACATGAGGTTATTTCTACAAACAAAGAAAGCATGCAGACATTTTAAATGTCTAATGTGGAATACATGATGTGTGTAGGTATAGGAGTATCTTTTACATTTCAAAGTGAGTGTATCAAGGAATAGGTGCTCCTGTTACTAACAGCCCAAAATCCTAGTACAAATCAACAAATATTTTCACAGGGAAAAAAAAAACATCCTTTACAAATTCAGAGAACGCACAGGTTGTTTCAGCCCAGCTAAATCAGAAGCTCAGGAGACAGGACAAAGTCAAACTGTCCTATAAATCATATATGCATACAGGTGATGATCTGGGGGATTGCTTTTTCTGCTAGGGTTTGTTTTTTTTCTTTGCTTGGTTGTTGAGGGATTTTTAATTTTTGAAGAGTTATATTTAGCAGAACAACTTCCTGAATTTTCCCCAGAAACATTGAATGCTAGAGCACTTAGCTAAAGATTCCAAGGTCAAGATGCCTTGACTGCACCTCCTCCTCAGAAACAGCTACAACATTTCTGCAATTTCCTCCCAAGACCAATTTAGCCTTGCAAAGTGGGCAGTGACTCCTCCCAGATGCTCCCAAGTTTCTGGCCCTTTTGATGAGATACCCTTCTGCTAACTACAACACTTTTGTTGCTCAGCTTTTTAACCACACTATGCTACTTAGGTAGCGTGCTCCTGGGAGATTAATTTTCTGCTCTTACTGCAAGCAAAAGTTTGTAAATAGGTCCTGCAGAATAGAACAACCTGCATTGTTTTGTTTTCTGCCTTCTAACCAAAATTAGTTCATCTTTACATGGACAAAAATTACACCATGATAACTTTACTCATCTATTTGCACAGACCTTAGCAACACAGCTACTGCTGGCAGAGCCAGTGGCCTCTGCTGACAGACCTCAGATGCCAGATACAGATGGACAAATGCATCACTGGGAACAGTGTCTCTCAAAGGACAACTTTAAAACCAAGAAAGAACATCTCAACAGTAAAAAAGTGGCTGATACACCTGTGTACCACAATAGTCCTCATTTACAATTAGAACAAAAGCCAAGCTCCTTTTTGAAATTTTCATCATTTTTTTGTGTGGCAATAAAAAAATATCCCAGTGTATAGTTTGTTTATTTTAATCACATTTCTAACACAAATTACTTTCAGTGTCCTACAAAGCACAGACTGAAAAATATGAAAGAATTTTCCCCTAGATGGCCCAGAAAGCAGGAAAACACTCCTGCTGCTGCTGCCTTGCCTCTCATTCCCATCTAGGACACATCCTGTACCTCCATGACACTTTGCATCTCCAGTCCTCTCTGTTACTTTGAAATACTTAAAATGAAATCTTACTACATCTAACACATCAGATATATAATTATGTTCTTAATTACATTCTCTAAGAAAGAAACTAAGTTCTCACCTTCGCTTACTCAGTATTTTTTCCAGTTTGGCATCCTCTTCAGTCCGGAGTCCATATGCAGATGTGAGAGGACAAACAGTAGCCAAGTACTGAACTAGCTGAACATGCTGCCCAGGTCGAAATGACCTCCCTTTCCCTTGACTGTAGAGCCATTCTGCTTTCAAACTGTTAAGAAAGGGGGAAAATGGTTTAATAAATGGCAGCTTTAATAAATGGCATAGAAACAGTAATTCTGTTTTCACTACAGTTCTTCTAGTAGGTACCAAAGAGCTAATCTAGAAATCTAAGCAAAATTTGGAACATGTGCAATGCCCAGGGAAACTGGCAATGTCATAAACAGAACAATGACTAATGTATTCATTCATTTAAGCATCAATGAAACAAAAAAAAAAAAATCCCACTTATCCAAAACTGTGCAGTCTGCTTTGTGTGTAGTCTTTGAGCACTGAAAACACATTTGTCTCAATGAACTTATCAGCAAAGCTTTCACAGAAACAGAGAAGTTCATATAAATATGCAAAAAAGACACAGAGCAAATATTGCTAAAAAGTATTCAACAAGTCTGTTTTTCAAATTAATTTCTGAGAATATTTAATACAATACATCACATGCATTATACAAATACGTGTATATACAGTTGTATATATACAAGTACATGTACAAACAATTGATACAGAACATCCCCTTAGTCATGAAAAAAAGTCTAGAATTCCAACAGGCAACTCTCTTGGAAAGTCATAGCATGTTATGGTGAAACAGAAAAAGAATTGGTTTACCTTTGACCAAAAAAAGGGCACCTTTTTATTTTAGTAACGGGGGAAAAGTACGTTAATGTCCTAGAATGTGTTAGTGTCCGGGATTGGAATGTGCTTATACTGGATAATCCTTATGCTTGGACTGTTCTAATGTCAAGAACTTTGTCATACAGATACCATAGTGATCTAATGAGCACAGTGATACAGTAACAAATGATTTGAGCAAAATAGTATTTAAGTAATTGATAACAAAAAAAAAGCCAAATCTAGAAATGCACACACAAATCATGCTTATATACGGACAAGTTTGAACTTCCCCCAAGACAACAGCTTTAACTCCTGCTGATTGTCACATACTACAAAGTCAAAGAGGCTGTAAAGAAAGGGTACCAGACTACTGATGAACTGCTACCACTGTTTTGCTTTGTAGAAGTGCTTCTGTAATTTAAGCAACAAAATAAAAGTTTAACCTCATACTTCTATCTAAACAAACGAAATAATAATTCCCGTGCAACAGATGATAAATTTAGCTACAGCAATTTTAGCTTAGCCAAACTTTATGTAGTAAGTTTAGAGATTTAATAATACTATTATGTCACCTTTCCTTCTGAGAAATCACATATCCATCAAGAACTTTAAGGTTCAGACACCAACTGACAATATAAGGTCTGTAGTCAAAGCCAGGAACGGAAGGTGTAGCTATCACACAGGGATTGTCCATAATTGACAGTTGTTCCAATTGGTGAAGAGAGGTCAGGAAAGAAACCTTGAGAAAAAAAGACACATTTGTTAACTGAGCAAAACATTCCACATTTCTCCTAACTACAGCTGGACAGCTCATGCAAAACAGAATGACAAATAAATCAAAAATCACGTTCAGTTTTTGAACACAAAGGACTACAAAGGACCTTCTATCAGCTACTGCCATTTCCCATTAATTCTTCTGTAAATGCTGTTAGTCCTTGGAAATTACCTTCTCTTAAAATTTGGGGCTTTATGTATAGAAAGGTGTAATATGAATCCAGTCTACTACAACAGGTGTTGGATTTTGATTTTGAAAACAAAGGAAAAGGAGAAAAGAAAAAAAAAAGGCAAGCCAAAAAGTTGGGAAAATCCTGTCCTGTTTTGAAGAGAAATTATTACCAAAAATTTTTCTTCTGACATGAAATCCCAGCCAAGAGTTTTGACTGCTACTTATAATACATCAAACAAACAAAACAATAAAGACAAAAGTCACAGGCAGATTATTTCTCTTACACAGTGTTTGAGAAATAGGTCAGTGGCAACAAGTGCAATGCAAACCTCTGTTCTAATCCCAGCAGCTGCAGAAGCTGTCTGAAGCATTTAATCACCTCAGCTTTCAACTTTCAGACAAACAGAAAAGGTTAGGCCTAGAAGTAACATCCTTGAATAACAAAAACATAACAGAAAAAAAACAATTTTCTTTCCAGACTAAATTCTAAAAGATACCACTAGCTCATGCAGCTAATGCAAATATGGCTATTACATATACACAATTAAACTATTAAAAGTTGGGTTGTTTCAAAGAAGAGAGCCCATTTTCAATTACAACCTCAAAAATATTGTTCAATTTCCTTCTTTCAGTCTACAATAAAGACAAGGTAATCTATCTTCTATATCTTACCTCATTTAAGTCTCTTATTTCATTTTCTGCCAAAGAAAAAACAGTCAAACTCTGAGGTAGGCAAGCAGGGGCAGTGCGTAGTGAAGTTATAATATTTCCATGTAGCAAAAGAGTCTATAAAATAAAAACACATGATGAAATAAATGTCTGATCAAAACCCACAGATTTCTTTTTTAGGCATCACCTGACAAAAAATACATTGCAAAAGAAGTATAAGTAAGACTTTCTGGTCACAGTTACCAAAAAATGCATTTGGAAACATTTTTCTCTACAGTGTGCATGTTGGAAGAGTTAGAAGTATACTTTGTTTTGACTCATGATAGGAGATAAGAGAATAAAGAGCTATGAAGAAGGCATCACCATCACATCTTTATCAAAATCATTAGAGTGGCTATAGAAAAATCACTACCTCAGCTCCTGCAGCTTCAAAACAAGGAAGAGAATATTTACACGTTTCCCTCAAGAAATTACAGTTAATGAATTAAAATGCTCTAAGAGCTAGTATTCAAAGAGTGAATGTCTAAAGGCAGCAATTTTCAAAGCAAATTTCTTTGTGTATAGAATGCAATAAAAACAGAGCTAGAACATCTACCTTTAGTGAGGTAAGCTTGGAGAGGTCGCCTAATTGAGCTATGTTATTGTCTGACAAATCAAGATGCTGAAGAGACAGGCAGGAATTGATTTGCTCAATGGCCTACAAAAATAAAGAAATTGGTTACTCACAGTAACTTTTTTTTAGCTACTAAATAAAACCAGGTATCAATAATTATAAAGTATTTTGAAAGATAAAAAACCCACTAGCTAAGTAACACAAAGTAAAAAATATGTTTTAATACAGTTGTATTTTAAAGATAGTAATTATTTTTCCTACTTTGGACACTACTTCCTTACTTTCATTTCATTTTGATATCAAACCTTTTATTTTTTCCTAGACAGCTCTACTACAAAAGCTGCCATCTTCTATTTCATAAGCCAGCAGACACAAAACATTAACATTGTTGTTCCAATCAAAACATATTCTGATTTCTTTGCAGCATTTTCCAAATTTCAATAACACAAAATTCTGGTAAACGCAACAGACTAAACACTTTACCTTAATGTTATTTCCTGCCAAATTCAGCCATTCCAGGTGCACCAAATCCTTCAGCCCTTCCACGTACCCAATACTATTATGAGGCAAGCTGAGCACCCGGAGCTTGGTCAGTTTTGCTACACCCATCATTCGCACCAAACGGTTGTTGGCTACAGAGAGCTGCAGATGGACACACAAAATAAAAGGTTTTAACTATGCAGATAAAGGTTGTACTTCTAATAGTTAAATCTCTACTCCAACAGATACTTGTTCAATCTCCGTATTTCATTTTCATGTAAATGACACAGACAAAAAACCCGCAAGAGCCAGGAAATAAATTACTGATCAAAGAACATGAGTCCTCACAGCTCATTCCACAAACTTAAGAGAAAACATTCTAGCAGTAGCTAAATAAAGGAAAAAGAATGAGGAATCATGTTATGTGAAAATGCAGTTGTAATATCAGAACTGCCAATTCATTGTGCAAATTTTTGCCCCATTCCTGGTGTAAAATTGCCCTTACTGTCAATATGGCAAAGGACAAAATGTATTTCATACAATTCTGAAAGAGGTCCTGTGCTAATAGGACTGTAAACCACAAACTTTTAAAGGGTAAATTCAGACTAGACACACACTTCAGTAACATGATCACCAAGCTGGCAGTGTGGAGAAGGTTTGTTGTAGCAACAAACCCCACCTCTGCCAACTCAGTGTAGCTGGGCTGTAGAAGTTATCAGGCAGCTTCGAGTCTATCCAGAAGAACTTTCAGTGATAATATTAAGTTATATTCAAGGTTACAAAGCCCATGTACTCAAAAGCTAACAAGTATCAAAATTTGAGTTATCAGTAACTTTTCTAAGTGTCCTTATGATGTCCCTCCCCCATTAGGATTTATTTAGCTCATTTTTAGTTACAGCCCCCTCCATTGAAGGCAAAGCTTTCTACTTTAGTCAGCCATCACTTATTTTCCTGTGAAGACAGTAACTGCTAGCTTACTTCATAATATGGCCTGAAGACAGCAGATTCTAACATCATATCACCATTATTTGATAATAATCTCAAATCAAGTAACACTCACCTGCATCAGATTCCTGCATTTCTCCAAGTGTTCCAATTTAATTATCTGATTTTTGTCCAGAATCAGAGTCTGAGTATCAGCATCACAGGGCAAGGTTGGACCCAGTTTTTGCAATCCTTGACCTGAGCAGTTGACTACCAAGCCTTTGGAAAAAAAAGGAGGAAAAAAAACAACAAAAAAGCACCACAAAGTTTATATATGAGAACATGTACTGGAAAAGCAACGCAAGACAAAAAGATTTGTTTTATAATAGATGCAGATAATTTGGAAAAATGGATTTGTTTTCTTTTCCATGTAAAACTAAAGCAAATTACTTCAGCTCGAACACTTTAAGAGTAACTGATCCAGTAACTGGAAAATATACATTCCAGACACTGTTCCAATTAAAAACTCTGGCAGAATTCTGGGAAAGTCACAACAGATCCTTTGAAGTGAGATGCAGCAAAATTCTGGTAGCTAAATTTAAAGGTGTGATCCTCAAAACCCCAAATTTCAGAAGAGCCTCAATTTTTTAATTCTTCAGAGAAATTTGAGCAGCTTGACAACTATGTGTAAGCATTCTATCTAAACTAAGAAGCCATCCATGCAGCCATACTACAGTACTGGGGGCATTGGGAGGAACAAACTGTAAATGGGCTAGCCTACTATTTACTTAATGCAACACACAATTCAAACGTTCCATGCAGAAAGGGTCACAACATAAAGTTAAAAGGCAAACATATGCCATCTACAGGGAGCTTAAATCACTGGGTACTCAAAGTGACACCTGATAATCAGAGTAATTTTCATACATTGAGCCTCTGCCGTATATTTGATGTACAAACATCACTGTAGTGCTTCTTGATCTCTTAATATCTGTTCAGTAAATAACGCTTCAGTTTTCAGCAACATAGGGTGTTCTCACCCTAATATGATTAATATTATCGTTTATAGGTTTTTAGGGTTTAGTTACACTATGGATGGAGACAAACATTTTTTTGTGTATATACTTTTTTTGTTTTGTCAGCTAGAGAACATGTATTTCTAAAAAACATGTCTGATGACAGTTATTACATTTCCATCATTTTTTTCAAATCCACGGTTGCCCCAAGTGCTTTGGAGAGCAGCAAGGCAGAGCCAGCAACCATCACTCTCCTGTCTTTGCACATGCAGGGAGGAAGTACCACTTGCTTTTCACTCAAGCAGTCACTTCTGCAACCGCTTCGTCACTTTAATTGACCAGACAAACTTTGCATCTGCTCATTTATCCAAGGGTTTGTTACAAAAATTCACAACTGGCCCCTCCAACCTAGGAGAGAGGCAAGGACCCACAGTACTGAATTGCAATAGTCATCAGTTTATTTACACACATGAGGTGTCCCATTCAAACTGGGGCACTCAGAATGTGGCTGTACACACAGTTCTCATAGATTTCCAGCATTCAAGTATAATGTGATCCAATTGCTACTTACTACACACAACTATTTGCAAAGAACCTGTATTTCTATGGCAACATCATCCACCTGCTTTGCTGTTGAACTAGACATCCCTGCAGTCAGACTTGCTATAATCACTTCTCCATGATGCTGACAAAGGAAGGTTTTCACAGAGGCGTTATCTCCCTTGTCTGGGGGTGTCCTTTATGAGCACCTCCAAGATTCAGAGAATCACAGGTCTCTCTTTCACCATCGTCTGTCCTTCTTGCAACAAGCTTTACTTTGCTTGCTCAAGCATGGCGATTCACTATACAGCATGAATTATATACACACGTATAATTCTATGAAATTATTATTATTCCATTCCATAAAGAACGAGATTTTCCTAATAGGCTTTCAGGACCCAGGAAATTAAAAAATTTGAATTTGACCCAGGAGAACATTTCAAAATGGCCTATTTCTCGTTTGGCAGGTAGCAAGGAACCCCCCGAAGCGGCGCTGTCTCCAAGACCTCTCAGCCCTCCCCTCTGGGGAAAACGGGCCCTATACCATTCAAATCCCGGTTTATAAAGGTTCTACGCCGCGGCGGGACCGCCCAGCACGATGGACAGCCGCTGTGTCCCGCGCCCCTCGGGGCGGGGAGCGCTGCCCGCCCCGGCGCCGCTCGGCCCGTCACCCCGAGCGGCACAGCGCTTCTCGGGACCCGCAGCCCCACCACCGCCGCCCTGCCGGCCCCCGGGCTGCCCTTACCCGCTCCGGCCGCCTCATGCCCCGCCCTGGCCTCGGCCGCCGCCATGCCCCGCGCTCGCCGAGCCCGGCGGGCGGCGATGGGCGGCGATGGGCGGGCGGCGATGGGCGGCGATGGGCGGGCGGCGATGGCCGGGCCCGCCCGCTCCCGTCGCGCCGCGCGCCGCTCCGACACCGCCTCCCGCCGCGCGGCCCGCCCCTCCCGCCTCTGCCGCCGCCGCCGCCATCATGAAGTGAGCGTCCCGCCCGCCGCCATCCGCCGCCATCCGCGGCCATCCGCCGCGGGGAGGCCGCCGCGGGGCTCCGGCCGCCTCCCCCGGGCAGCCGCGCCCTCCCCTAACTCTTCTCTCCCGCGCAGGGTCGAGCTGTGCAGCTTCAGCGGGTACAAGATCTACCCGGGCCATGGCCGCCGCTACGCCCGCACGGACGGGAAGGTGAGGCCGGGGCGGAGCGGGCCCTGCGGCCGGGAGGGCGCTGCGCCTCTGGCGCTGTCCGGAGTCTCGGTAGTGCCGGGGCGGCCTCTGCCCGAGCCGTTCCTGTCCAGCTGTGGGAGCAGCACCGGCGGGCAGATGCCGTGGCTGCTCCGCAGCAGATCCCTGCTGCGCTGTAGCTTGCGGTTGAGTTTTAGAACGTATTTTCCAAAGGGAGCCTTAAAGTAGCAGGTGTAAAGTACCGAAGTTGTGTAGAAAATGGTGCTTAGACGTTCTGTATCAAATGCTAAGATCCGCTGGTGCCAACAGCTGGTCTTCCAAATTAATTGAGTAGAAATCTATGAGGTAAAATAGGGTCGAGAGCCCCTTCAAGCTGTCATGTCATAGGCAGAGAGGACTGTCCCTGCCTGTGAAAGGAGGGCTTGGCTTTTGAGTATCCCAGTACAGTCAGCTTTCTCTGTGGAATTCCCAGCAAAACGACCAGGAGATAGACTGGTTAAATCCTTGTGAGCACTCCTGGGAATTAGCTTATACTTTAAACGGAACTCTATAGCTAATAACAAACCAGCTTGCACGTTCTGCCTGTTGATTTAGACGAACAGGTTAGTGTGACTAACCAAGAAGCTGAACACTGGTCTCCCTGTGTTCCCTAGGCCAAGTTTTGAGTCACTCACATACAGGAAGTACATTGTTGCTTGAGGACAGACACTTGGAGAGCATGATGCTGGACACAGCTACTCATGCTGTGCCTGAAATACACAGCAGCACTGCATGCAAGTGGTTACTTGAACTTTTTTCAGCAAAATGATGATGCTTCAGAATGCCTTGCAAGACATTAGTTCGACCAATGTAACAAAATGCAAAGCCTGAGATTTCTTGAGTTATCTGCTAAAATTTTGACTAGTCAGAGCTGTGCTTAAGAGCTCCAAAAGCACCAATGTTGAAAAACACTGACTCAAAGAATACTTAATGCAAACTGTGATAATGTCTTTCATGGAAACAAAGCTTACACAAAACATTTTGCCTTCCCAGGTTTTTCAGTTCTTGAATGCAAAATGTGAGTCTGCATTCCTTTCCAAGAGAAACCCTCGTCAGATCAACTGGACTGTTCTCTACAGGCGTAAGCACAAGAAGGGACAGTCAGTAAGTACACACCAGTTCATGGCACTGCAAGCTCATGACCAAAAGATGTGGTCACTGGTCTGTTGGAGGTCACTTAAGTGTGCCAGTGTCAGAAGTGCAGAAGCATGACCCAAGTTACCAGGATGAAGACTAGTTAATAATGGTTTATACACCACTTGTGTTGTAGCACTTCTTTGAGAGACTACTCAGCCACGGTATGTTCAGCAGATCAGATCAGGGAATTGCATGTTTTTAAAAGTTAGCTTTAGGGAAGGTGGGTAACGCTGTTTAATATGCAGACTTCCTAAAAGTTTGGTCTGGTAAACTTCTCAATGGTGTCAGCATAGGGGGCTGATTTTGGGGTTAGAGGGGCAGGGATGACATTCCTAATACACTCTTATTGAAGGCTTTGGGCTGTAGCTTAGCATGAGGTCTTTCCCTGTGTAGCTGTCATTGCATGAAAAGGATAAATCATGAGGGCATGTAGAATGAGGTATGCTGCAATGCTCTTATTTAAACTAGCACAGAAGAGGCTTTGAGAAAGGCTTACATCAGTGCAATAGGTTAGTGTTCTTGCCAGTTTTGTTGAAGAAAGTTGATGCGTGATGGCTTACACTGCTCCCAGCACTGGATCCACATGAATAGGCGTGGAGTGTTCTCCTTTCAGAAGGCACCATCAAAGGTTTATGGTTCCCACCCTTTCTTCTGGGAGTTACAGATGGCTGAACTTCTAACATTCTTTCAAAATATTTTTTTTCATACTTTGCTGTAGAAGCGTGGAAGATACAGGGTCTAATGTGTATGTCTCCAACACTGATAGCTGGGGAGCCAGCCATGTTGCTAATAACACACTATGAAAAGTACAGGATGTGGCTGGAGAAGGGACCACGTGGAGGTAGGGCAGCACTGGATCCTCTCAAGTGAGGAGTAAAATTCTACTACCGTGTACAGTTTTAAATAGCTTCAATTTGAGTAGCAGCTTGTTTCCACAGTTGCCTTCAGCCCCGTGTTGGATGTCTTGTGCTGCTGATTGTCTGTGTTGTCTCTGCCCTCTTAGGAAGAGGTCCAGAAGAAGCGCACGCGCCGTGCTGTGAAGTTCCAGAGAGCCATCACTGGTGCCTCTCTCGCTGAGATCATGGCCAAGCGGAACCAGAAGCCCGAAGTACGAAAGGCACAGAGGGAACAAGCTATTAGGTGAGAAGTCAGCTCAGTGGAGCTATCCCAAACTTTTCAAAGACTACAGTACTTTACATACAAAAGCTTAAACTCTAGGTGAGCTCTGTGTTTTGTAGGATTTTTGTGGGGAGTTTAGTTTCTTTTAATCTGTATATTTGTATGTAATACTAAGTAATCTTGGCAAGAGATAGTGGCAGCAGAGAAGGCTCTCTCCTTGCCTTTTCCCTTTGTACTTTTGTACAAAGTTCTGCTGTCTCTGTAGAAATTCCTTCAGGGGATAGTGAATATAGAGGAGAAATCTGCATGAATGCATTCCATTCCTTAATCTTGGGAAGCTCTTACAGTACTGAAACAAGGAAACAGTGAAGGGCAGACACGGATAACTTGCACTTTTTCTGTGAATTAACAGGGCTGCAAAGGAAGCCAAGAAGGCCAAGCAGGCAACCAAGAAAACAGCTGTTTCTGCTGCAAAGGTGAGATGCAATAGGTGAACAGGGATTATAAGATAGAATACACCATGTTGTAGCATGATACGCAGTGTTCTGCTGTAGCACTTCATTGGAAATTCTGTTTTTGTTTTGTGGAAGCATTTTTGTAATTGCACAGCTGCATAGAATGAATCTTTTTTACCAAATAAGTATTCCAGTAAAACAATTCTCTGACCTAATATCAGAGATAATTAATAGATAAAAGCTTGTCTCAATGTGACGTCTTCATTATCTAGGAACTTGGTAACAATATATTGATGAATGCTACCATGTGTTTCATTATCATTTATTAATTAATACCATATGTTGGCTTAGCATTACGTGTGTAAACATCTGTTACCATGATCCAGATATTACAGATTGCAGTTCTAGTCGGATCTGATTTCTGTGAAGAGTGCATACAAAGACACTTTTAGGACTGCAGATAAATAGCTTCTTTTCATTCATACTTCATTATTTCTCTACAGGCCCCTACGAAGGCAGCACCTAAGCAGAAGATTGTGAAACCAGTCAAGGTTTCTGCTCCCCGTGTTGGTGGAAAGCGCTAACATGCCAAACTGTTGGTCATGCTGAATAAATCTGATGGAATTCCATTACTTGTGCCATGGTCTGCTCAGCTGTGTGAGATACACTGAAGGGAACGAATCTGTAAAATGACCATGTCTGGATTTTGCAGACTGAAAAGGATCTTCTGCCATAAAATGTTTCGTGTCGTAGACAGTTCCCCCAGTCTTCACTGAGTGGTTCAGGTAGCAGGGAAGATGGAGCTGGTATTTGAGGAATGTTCTTGCCTGAAGGACAGAACAGCATCTAAGTTTATTCTGCATCTATGACAAGTGACATAAAAGAGGTTTCTAAGAGCAGAGATACATGCAAGCTAAAAGGGGGTGTGAAGCAACACCATCTGCAGATTACTTACAAAGGTCCTGTGGAATGCATGTGGCAAGATACAGAATCAAATACGGAAAAGGTAAAAAAAAAGGAAAGGATGGTTTCACAGACTGCATGACTCTTACACACAAAGATTCAGATGCAGCTTCTGGGTCAGGAAGTTCCAAAATTATGCTGGAAGCTGTTGTTAGGGAAAGGAAATGTGTGAAGATTTGGTTTCAAATGCAGCTGATGTTACACAGTTAAAGCACATTTAGGTTCATATTTAACTTGCTGAATGCAGCTAGGGGCTCCCTTAGTAATTTTCCACCCTCCCACTGCTAGAGGGATTGAAATTCCTTATGGGAGTTCCTGTGTCTGCTAAGTAACTGCACTGTGCAGACAGCTTGCCCAGACTTTGCCGGTTTTGCTGGACAGGAATGGCCTTGGCAAAGCAATGTCCTGATTAACTAGAACCAAAACAGAAAGCAAACCTTCACTATTTTCTGTATCAGTTACTTTTCTGTTGATACTGTGAGGGCTTGATTTGTTACCTTACGACCAGTCAAGAAGACTGCTGTGTTTCAACTTCCTGCAGTCCTGGGCTTCGAAAACAATGGCTGTAATGGGCACTGTGGATTATGGGCTGTACTTACACCTTGTTTGGGTTTTAGTAAAATAGATATGGGTCTGGATGAAGGCTACAACCCATTTAAAAAGGTCTGGCTTGATGATACTAATTGATTCTGCACCATGATCTTCCAAACAATTTTGCTTTTTGCTATTAACAAAATCCAGCGCTACTTATTTAGAAAGAAATTGGAAGCTAGTTAGCACGTTTGAAAGCAAAGGGTCCAGAAACAAGAGGGGGAAAGAGAGGAAGAAAAATTGCCTGTAGTTAGGAGGGAAAGGAATTATAATAATTTAATACTGAAGGCTGAAAACACCTCTGAATCTTACCCATGCTAGTGGCGATTATAAAAATCACATCACTGTCTTCTACAAGACACCTGGTACCCTGAATGTGTCCTTGTGAATATTTTCAGCTAAGAAGCTGAAAATAAAGATGAGTTTTTACCATCTGCTTGAAATACCACTAATGATATATACAGAAACTGGCAGATATGACTTATTAATAAGTTAGTATTTGTTAATGCTTTTAAGTTTGCAGGCTTTGGCTGCCTGGTGTCACTGCAGCAGTGCACAGAAGTGCTTCACAATTACTCTTCTTGCTGTTTATTCCCGAGTTCTGATATGAGAAGAAGAGTGACAGCCCATCAGGTTACTCCTCTGAAAAGCTATGCACTGAGTGAGGCAGGCTGTTCAGAGCAGAATAAACAGCACTTTATTCACCTCAAACACAGATGTAATAGAATGAGTTAAGGAAATTAATGTAAGCCCTTGTGTTCACCTAATTTAATGTAGTTGAGCCTCTATCAGGTATTTGTCAGGAGAAATTGAGTACCTACGTTTGTCACAGACCTACAAAATAATTTTGGTTTAAAAGGACATCAACTCTGTTGAAAATGCGTCTGTTTAGATGGGATTTAGTATCCAGCTGAGTCTTGAACACAACTCCAAGGACAGAGATTCCACAGCCTCCTAAGGCCGCCTGTTCCACTATTCGACCAGTGCCATTGTTAATCCGAAAAACTAAATACAGAGCCCTTTTTCTACATAAACAGCGCCTTTGGGCGGCTTTGCTCAGTCTGGTGGGTATCTGTGTGTGGGGACCGCGGTGCTCCCCGTGCGCCCCGCAGGTACCGAGCGCAGGGAAAGGGATGGGGAATGGAACTGGGAATGGGAAACAGCCACAGCCCCCGGCTCCCGCCTGGCGTGCCTCTGTTTCGGGCGTAAAAACCAGCGCACAGCTCGGACAAGCAAAACGCGCAGCCGCCTTCTAAAGGACTTTGTTTCTTGCCCCTTACGGACGAACAGCGCGCCCCGAGCGCCCCGGGGCGTGGCTGCGGCGCTGCTGCTGCTCCCGCTGGGCACGGGTGACCCCACTACTCCCCTCGCAGCTCCTGCCCGCCGAGCAGTTTGGGAGCCGGGGCTGCACAGGGGTTCATTCCAGGGGTTCATTCCTGGCATTCGTTCCCTCGGGAGCGCTCCCGGCTGCACCGCCGCAACCGCGCCCCGCGGCGGGCTTTGCCCGGCTCCGACATGGCGGCCCCGGCCTCGCGCCCGGGCTCTGCCCTGCCCGGTTCCGACATGGCGGCCCCGCCTTGTGCCCGGGCTGTCCCCTGCCCGGTTCCAAGATGGCGGACCCGCTCCCCCCGCCCCTTCCCCGCCCCTCCCGCGCGCGCGCGGCGCCGCCTCACTTCCGCTTGTGCAGCAGCCATTTTGTCTTTCCGCCGCCGCCGCTGCCCGAGCTTCTCCCTCCCTCCCGCCGCCGCGGGCCGCGACACTCCAGTTCCCCCCCGGCGCGGCTCCCGCCGGGCCGGGGCCCATCCCGACCCCCTTCCCGCACCCCGGCAGGCTCCTCCGCAGCCCCTGAGGGCTCTGAGGGCGCGATGTCCAGCGAGGAGAGCTACCTGGCCATCCTGCGGTACCTGACGAACGAGCGGGAGCCGTACGCGCCGGGCACGGAGGGCAACGCCAAGCGGAAGATCCGCAAGGCCGCCGCCTGCTACGTGGTGCGCGGCGGCACGCTGTACTACCAGCGGCGGCAGCGCGACCAGCAGCGCTTCGCCGAGCTGGAGGTGGTGCTGCAGGCCGAGCGCCGCGCCCGCCTCATCCGCGCCGCGCACCTGGCGCCCGACGGCGCGCACCGCACCCGCCTGCAGACCTGGCACGGGCTGTCCCAGCGCTACTGGTGGAGAGGTGAGAGCGGGGCTCGGCTCGGCGCGGCTCGGCTCGGCTCCCCTGATGCGGGCTCGCAGCCTGTGCCAGCGCGCTGGCGCCTTCACTCGAGTGCTCTGGTTCTGTTCTGTTCTAGCTCCTCGCGTTCTCGCGTGGAACTTCCCGTGCATTAGTTTCCCTTCCTTGTGTCATTGCTTGGCACCAGCGGGACCTCGCTCCGAGCTCCTGGCACTCTCTATTTAGATATTTACCGACATTATGCGGCCCCCTCTCAGTCGTCTCGTCTCGAGGCTGAGCGGGCGCAGTTCCCTCAGCCTTTCCTCGTAAAGAGATGATTCGGTCCCTTAACCATCTTCGTTGCCTCCGCTGTAGCCGGAGTTGCATGTCTCCCTTGTGCTGAAGGTCTCCCTTCCGTGTTCCCATCCCTGGCGGGACAGGAGGGACTGTCACTCGCTGAGTGACCAGAGCCTTTAAACGCCACCTGGAAGCAGTGTGGCAGTGAGATGTGTCACAGCCCGAGAGGCAGGGCTCACCCTGCGTGCTGCATCTGGTCAGCGCATTGTCCAGGCTTCTGGTCGGGTGCTGGCACCTTGAATAGGTAGAAACGCGGAGTATAGCTGTCCCCTCCAGGTCTTGCACGCAGCCCAGGTAAGGCAGTGGCATCTCCACTGTGCCCTTGGGATAGGGTGATAATCCAGTCCACGTCACCTGTGTTAGCTTTGGACCTCATTCGTGCATGTGATGGTGTTCGTGTTAAAGTACTGCAGCTGCCAGTGGTGGTTGGCAGTCCTGGCACTCATTGCTTTATTTGTCTCCTTCTTGCAGCGACACGCTGAAGAGACCAGGCTAATTCTCAGCTGGGTCCTGAGTGATGTCACAGCTGTTAGAAATGCTGGTGCCTGAACAGCAATCATTTCCAATTGGGATTTTCTTTTGCCTGAGGGAATGACTCCATATCTTGTTCCCTTTCGATTTGCTGTTCTGCTTTTAGCCCTAGATATCCATGAAACAAATAGCCTGCTTTTCACTTGCCATGGGCCCAGTGTGTGTCTATGTTTATATTGCTTCTCTTGTTCTGCTCTCTTCATCCATCAGCAAGTCTGTAATTTCAGCTTTAGTTTTCCCTATTTTCAGTTGGAGGGATTTTGCTCTAGCTGCAGCCACTCCCTCCAGTCCAGATCTCATTGACTTGAAGGTATTTTCATGTGAAGAAAGGGTTTGGCATCTCAAAGCTGATACACCCATTTTTGTTTCCTTGCCTTTATTTGCGTTCTCATTGTCTGCTCAGCATTGTGCTGTTCTGGCATCTACTCTTATCCTGTGCTGGAAACTTTCTCCATGGGCCTCAGTGTAGCTTCTGTTAGTCAGGAGAAGGCATTCTGTATTCTTTTGATCTTATTGGTCACCTTTATTTGCACATCCTAAATCGTCTTGCTTCTCTTACACTGAGAATACTAAAATTCATTCCATGCTTTCAGTTCAAGTGTTATGTTTCTTACATATGTCTCCCTTAAGACAATGTTTTCCCAGGCATGACAGTACTCGCTGGCTGCTATGGACAGCAGCTTTGGCCCAGCTGCCATCCTGAGAAGGACATCAGCCTGCTGTGTGTCTGTTCTCTAGCTGCAAGGCCATGGGCTGGAGAATGGCTCTGAGGCCAGGAAGGGTGTTAGAGATGTGATTTGCAGCCCCTGTCTCATTTCAGATGAAATCAAGGAGATGTACAAATGTTGAAATGGGCATTCATATCTTAGCTTGCCTTAAGTCTCTGTTTTCCTCATCCTTGCAGAGACAGGTATTTAATGATAGTGCAAGTCATGCTCTGAGGAGATGTGAGCAAGCAAGTCTAAGTCTGGGTCAGCAAAGCTTTTGAGCTGTGCTGGATTTTAAATCATGGCCACCTGCTATACGTGCTTTTATATTGTGCTGGTGAAGAGAACGAACTTGGATTGAAAGCCATGCGTGGCAAATGCCTTGGTATCTAGAAGAGGACCCTGCACCTAGGACCTGTTGAGTGTCTGAAATGATTTACAGAATTGCAGAAGGTGCTGAGTGGGAAGGGACGCACAAGGATCACTGAATACAGCTTCTGGCCCTGCACAGGACCATCCCCAAAAGGCACAAGAGTCATTCCTGAGAGCATTGTCCAAACACTTTGTGAACTCTGTCAGGCTTGGTGCTGTGACTGCTTCCCTGGGAAGCCTGTTCCGGGGCCCAAACACCCTCTGGATGAAGAACCTGTTGTTAATATCCTACCTAAACCTCCCCTGACACAAATGCAGGCTGTTTCCTTGGGTGCTCTCATTTATATTTAGTTCCACTGGTTAAAGTAGTGGTGGGAAATGGAGTTATTTAAATCCCAAAATCATAAGCAATTGTTTTAAATCAGCATTAATAGTTCCCAACAGTGTCATTGCATGTAGCACCGTTGATCCCAATTTTGCTAAAGCTCATAAGTGAGCCTTCCAATTCTTGTCCTCTTCAGGAGGAGCAAGCCATTTGTGTGGGCTAAATACAGGATTACATTACATTTGTCATTACCTTGGGATGATGAGACTATATTTCTGAATACCGTGTTGGGTTTTGTTTTAGCCTTAATAACCTTTCTAGGAGGGTTTGCTTGATGTAGTGGTATTCAGAATGTTCTGTCTCAAATTAGCAGTAGAGACATAAAATATCATGCAATGGTGAGACAATAGAATTGATAATATTGCATTAGAGAGGGAGAGTGTAGGTGACTCGCTTTATTTTTCTTGGTTAGTATGTAATATTTTTGATTGTTATTGATATTTTGCTAATCTTCTACATAGTTATTTGTTTACAGTAAATGGAATTAAGATTAGAAGCCTAATCAAGCTCCATTAATTTTTTTTAGGTATTCTTAAGCAGGTTAAAGATTACATTAAAGAATGCAGCAAGTGCCAGGAAAAGCTAGATCGTTCTAGATCTCTGTCAGATCCTTCTGAAATGCTGGAGGAGCTAGGACTGGATGCAAAATCTCATGAAGACAGTAATGAAACAGATGATGAATTGAGTAACACAGCATCAATCCCAGCAGCATCCCCAAAGCCTGTGAAGAAGAAGCCAATAGCAAAGCACGAGCTTGTGTTTGTAAGTACCACTGTTTACAGCTGAATAGATTTGCATTTTCTATTACTGCTTTCTTGGTCATGTACTTCTTTTCCATTGTTGTGGTAATCTTGTTACAGCAAGACTATAAATTTTGCCAAAGATACCGAATATGTAGAAATGGGATACTGGTGTATATGTCATGAAATTAATTACAGGACACCATTGCTGGGAAATAAAATCACCCTATATATTACGCATATAGAATCTAAGGTAAAGTGAATGGCAGTAGTAAAACATCACATACCCGATTCTTATGGGCTCTATATCTTTCTCTTAACACATGATGCTGTACTGATATGTAAACTTCTTGTTCATAACTGCAGGCTCACATGCACATAAAAGACATTTGAATTTAGAAACTTTTTCAGACTGTAACATAGAAAAATACAGTCAAAGAGCTGTTTGAATATGTCTTCCCATTTTCCCAGTTGGTTTTAATTGTGTTTGGAGGGAGGGTGAAACTTAAAGAAAGAAAACAATAGTAAAGTTAAGCTGTATATTCTCCAGGCTTGAACTGATTGTATGGTTGCAGAAAATAATCCTTTTCTGTGTTTCAGTGTGAATGCTTAAAAAGGCACAATCTAAATGTAATGAAGTTCTTAAATGTTGTTTATGACAGGTTGACAGTAAGGGCCTTGTGAAGCAGTCATCTTCCAAACATTGTCTGTCAGTCTTAAACCAGCTGAATCAGCAGAGGCTTTCCAATCAGTTCTGTGATGTGACTTTGCTGATTGAAGGAGAGGAGTACAAAGCTCACAAATCTGTCTTGGCAGCCAACAGCGAGTACTTCCGAGAGCTCTTCATTGAAAAGGGAGCTGTCACTAGTCATGAAGCTGTAGTGGATCTGTCAGGTGAATTGCTGTGGGTTTCAAAGCTAGAAATCTATAATATCCTAAGTAAGGTGTACGGTATTTAATTCAGTCTTTTTTGAGTGTTAAAGACAACCAAATTTTATCTTGCTTTTTTCTCTCTTTTAATCTAGAAATATTTTGTGTGGATTGTAATGCAAAAGTGATCACTCTGATTTTGCCTAATCTGATTTTCCATGGACTGTGGTATTTAACCTTAAAATTTCTGAGAAGCTTTTGAGGGATTTTTACCTTACTGAGGCATGTTCCCTCCTTGTATTAGTCACAAATGTTAAAAAGGGAACAAAGTCGAATGCTTGGGTGCATCAAGTGGGGATGTTGACAAGCTGCTTGGAAAGTAGTCCAGCTTAACAAATGCTAAATTGCTTCTTGTTTCTGTGAAGCAGAATTATACGTGTCTGCTTATTTCTCAGACCTGGTACATGAAAGACAGGAGCTAAAATATATGTTCTAAAAATAGCTTTGTAGTGATGAAGAACAGTGTACAGAACATATGCCTTCTTCATTGCTTTCTCATTTATTAACTGTCTTTCTCAGCATGAACAATAATTGCCTAGTAGGATAGTCCAGAAGGTTCCCCACATTAAATATTTTATTTATTATTTATGTAACTGTGGACGATTATACCAAATTCTTATATTTCAGCATTTCTATCTATATGTCCATATTTTTATTGTTTTCAATAGCTACTTCCTTATTTTTCTACCACATCACTTGTTACTTAAGACATGAGTACTTTCTGAATGTAGCAGATCCAGAAAGTCTTTGCTTCAGTTAATCTGCTCCAAAAGTATTGTGGCTCTCCCAGCAACTTGAAATATTCCTATTGTGAAACTCTTTAAGTACTACTTAGTTTTTGAAAAAGTTGTCTGAGCTTTCCCATACATGGAAACTACGTGAGGAAAAAGCTGTAGTGTAAATGACAAATTAATTGAGTGCCAGTCATGGGCTTGTTATTTCCAAGTGTGTTTTGCTCTAAGTTTCAGGCTTAGATGTATCAAAGGTGAATTGTTGTATTCATCAAGGGATATTTTGGGGTAATTTCAGCTCATCATTACTTACTCTAATATCTTGTTTTATTCCTGGTAGGTTTCTGCAAGTCCAGTTTCCTGCCTTTACTGGAATTTGCCTATACTTCAGAATTAACGTTTGACTTCTGTAGCATGGCAGAAGTGGCCATGCTCGCCCGGCATCTCTTCATGTCAGAGGTCCTTGAAATCTGTGAGAATGTGCACAAGCAGATGGAAGAGAAACAAATTACAGTGTACCAAAAGGGAGATATTCAAACCGTGGAGTCAACACAAAATCTAGCAGAGCAGGCTGAAGTGGAGGTGCAGCCCATGGGTGGTGCTGAGCAACCTAAATTCACAGCCAGTGAAGTGCCAGTAGCTGTGAATGGAGCTCCTTCCTCTGCTGGGACAGAGGAGGAGGCAGCACCCCAGCC